GGTTGGATGGGGGTACCTGAAACCCTTTTCAGAAGCTCTAACCACTTCAGCGGTTCCTGAAATGACCTGAAGTGGCTGAAGCTTCTAAAAGGGGTTTCAGGTACCCCCATCCAACCATTTGGATGGGGGTACCTGAAACCCCATTCAGAAGCTTCAGCCACTTCAGCGGTTTCAAGTCCCCACCTGATATTCCTAAAATGACCTGAAGTGGCTGAAAAAACAGGCAGGAAAAAAAAAGAAAAAAAAAAACATAAAACTTGTCCTTCAAACCACCCGAAACTTCTGAAATGACTTGAAGTGTCTTCAGGTCATTTCAACGGTTTCAGACCACTTCAGAATCTTTCATTCTGAAATTGAAGGTGGTCGTTAACCGCGAGTGTTCAAATCAAGGGCCACGGTTCAGTAAGGGAGTAAATCAATTCCACAAATGCTTTTGACTCAATAAGCTAGTTCGAGGTAGTTTCTACCTACCGAATGGTCCTCTCCATCCCAAGATGTGAAAAAGTGAGATATGAAATGAGCCAAGAACTCCCAAGTTCAACCTCGCATACATCGATGAACATTCACATGAGAGTTCACACATGAGAAGCTAAATCAAGATACAATCAACACTTAAAGATGACATCTCCAGTATTATTATCAATAAACAAGAATGTTAGTCTCTCGCGGCTCTGCCGCACACACATGCACAACGGATCTCAACCAAACAGCGGTTATGGCTTCTCCCCTTCTTCTCTCTCTCTCTGACTTGACTCGCTCTGCCTCACTCTCTCTCTACCCAAGATCGTTACCTTGGACTCAAGTAGCTTACACCTATGGCCACCGTCCTCCTGCTCTACCGCTAGCCTAGCTATGGAGTATCTCTCAAGCGCCCTCTTCATCTTCAGGGGCTCAGTGCCAAAGTTCCCTTAACGCACAAGCAGCAGCAGCGCTTCCGCATCTCGCTACTGAAAAGTGTCGAGCCGCTGCACTGTAGCAGCTAAATATAGGACTTGATTTGCTTGGCTTGGCTTGGCATGGCCTGCTTCAAACGAGCATTGGACGACCGCGACCTGTCTGCTGCAACATTTCGTCGGTACAGTAGCTTCCGGACTTTCCTAGGACATGCTGCAAAATTGGACCTGGGACTGTCAGATTGGACTGGACGCTTTTAGACTTTTCTTGTCGCATACCGGACGGACTCCTACCGACTTACGACGCTTCGGTACCGACACCTACCGACCTACGACACTATGGCCTCTAACCCCTACGGCCTACCCTACTAGACGGCCCTAGGACTTAGGGCTTGTCGGGACCCTGGGACTGGGACTAGGTGTCTGCAGCGTGAATCCTTCAAATGGTAAACATAAGGTTTTGTGATGTCCTTTACCTCGAATAGCCCCTAACCATGAGTAGGCAGCCCGGGCACTAGTCTAATATGCCTGATCTACCTGTATAGGCAAGGAGGCCACACCAACGTCCTCGCTCGCCTTTTATGCTGCCAAGATAAATCTAAGGTTGAAAAGAGCAAGTTTGGGGGTTTGGGAACATAGGGTCTCGCTGCACTTCGCTAGACTAATGAAAAATTTTGACAATCCTCTGAGAGCTTTCAGACTCTCGGAACCAACGAAATTACGGTTGTCGCTCGGCTTACTCTCGATGGCGGGACTCTTGAACTTTGAAGGCAGGTATCCAAGCCCACTCTCATAATAGGAGGGCCCTTTGAGGGTCTGGTCGACCACCCTATGTTGCAGGCTGGAAACTCTAAGATAATAAAGAGTGCTCTTGAACAACATGAGACGAGGCAAAAATTGTCTTCTATTTGAAAGAGAAACCACATTGTATCCTCCTCCGTCTCCTTCTTCTTAATTGTTGTCTTTGTCTTAGTGATGGATCCGCCCTACGGGGAATCCTTCCTCGAAGGGGTCACTACTTGGATCCATGGTCCATTCAAAAAGATACAGCTAGACCCTTCGACTTAGTGATGAATCCGCTTCCTACCCACTACTATGTCAAGATGAAGGCTGGCTCCAGGTTGCTGGTCTGCCGGATAGAGTTGTTGTCTTTAACTAGTCTTGATCACACAAAGATACTCAAGGTTGTGTAAACAGTGCAGAAACCTTGGTACAAAGATACTCGAGGTTGTGTAAACAATGCAGAAACCTTGGAAATACCAAAAGTATCAGGAAAATTGTGTGAAAGTATTTGCTGAGCTAGTATACCACACGATCGAAATTGTGAAGAGGTATCGACTAAGCGGGTACGGGCAATTGGCTAAGGGATCCATAAGTTAGGGCGCCACTGAACTATTTGATACCCACCAGCTACAGTAGCAATGAAAGATTCTTAAACCACCACTACCTCCGAGCCTGTTTTGGTCGACCCTGATTTTCCCTGCGCACTGAGTTTTGTCGCGCCTGGGTTCCATTTTGTTTCTTTTCTGGTACTCTCCTGAAAAAAAGGGGGGAAAAATAACGGCCAGACTTTAAAAAAACGACCTACTCACAGCCAAAAAAAAAAAAGAAAAGAAAAAAACAAACACCCCTTTAGACGTGATGCCTGGTAGATACCTAGCCCAAAGTTGTTGTGTGAGTATGCCCTCAGTGAGGGTGTTACGGCAAGGGGTCAGGTCGACGAAAGAAGGAAGAGGGCGAAAAATTTTGAAACTGACCTTATGGCGGGAAAGCGGGTTCACACGTTCTGCAAAGTAATAGTGTGGGGATACCCTCCTCCACAAAATGTCAGCACCCCGTGGACTATGTCGTGTCAGGTCCACGAAAGGAAGAGCGAAAAAAAAATTGAAACTAAACTTATGGCGGGAAAGCGGGTTCATACATTCTGCGAAGTAATGGTGTGGGCATGCCCTCATCCACAAAGTGTCAGCACCCCGTGGACTGTGTCATGCCTCCCTGGCAGGGCACCAAAACAAAAAAAAGTTGGGTTAGGCCGGCGCCCGATCCAAACGGACCCGGCCTGACGGACTGGGGGGGGTCCGTCCAGCAAAGCCAGACGAGCCAAAGAACATGCCAGGAATTTTTTTTTTTTTTTTTGAAGATGGGGTTGGACTGCACTCGCTGAGAGGAGCCCAAATCCGCAGAGAAACTCGTGAAAGGCATGTGTGTTGGGGGAGGGGGGGGGAAGTTTGAGGGGAGTGGAGAGAGGGGGGGTTGACAAGGGGGTAAAAGGGTGTGTTGCAGCAGCCAGTCCGCTGAGGGGAGGGGGGGTTAGAGGAGGGGGAGGAAGAAGAAGAAGAAGACGCCACATCCTTTGTCTGCTCTCTTCCTTCCAGACCCGCCCCTCTCCCCGCCGACGCCGCTGCCACTGCCCGCCATAATGTTGTGGAAGTAGAGGACGCACAGACCAACAGCTAGGGAAAAAAGAGTAGAGTATCGGAGGAAGAAGAAGAAGAAGAAGAAGTTTGTGCGGTTGTGAACGGGCTTTGCCACGGGGAATACCGCGTTCGAATTTGAACGTGGCGCCGTAGCTCGCCAGACGGGGAACCCATTTCTTGGCGGCTGATCTCAGCCACTGATCTTTGCAGATCAGCGACCGGGATCAGTTGTCGTAGAAGACCTTCCCTGCCCACTAAAACTGGTCGTAGATCAAAAAAAAAAAAAAAAAAACTTGTGTTGCTGGAGGCTCGGGAGGCGACCACTAGCCGAAAAAGGCCTCCCCCTCCCCGCACCCCCCCACGCGCAAAACTGCACTGGGTTTGTTTGGCCCCAAACCGGGGCACCCAACCGGTCGGGCCGCCCGTGACCCCTGCCAGGCGAAGGCCAGGCCACCAGACGGTCCGGAGTTTAACGCAGAAAAAAAAGAACAAAAACTAAAAACACATACAATGAAAACCTGAAACTGGCCACTATAGCCGTTAGATACGAACGTGTGAGTTTTGGGGCCTCATCGGATGGTACATGACACGAGAAAAAAAACTAATTCGTTTCGTGAACGTTTCACCGCACAGTCAAGAAACGAAAACTGTCAGGAGGAAGTCGCGAAGTGTGTCAGATTTGCAATTCGCGAGCCTCAGCACGTGCCACAAGCATGCCCACCTGCAAAGTGCGAAAAGTCGTAGGTCCTCCCGAAGGCCGGTTGAGGTGCTGCAAATCGGCACGAGTCTGGGAAGTCCGTCCAAACGGAGTGCGTCCAAATTTTGGACCTTAGCGTGTGCCAGAGCTCGCGACTGAAACGAGGAACCACGCGAGTCCTCACGACCGTTTTGTCCACTGGTTGGGCCCAAGCCAGCGGGCTGTCCCGCACTGCGAGCCTCCTCGCATCTGCCCGCTCCGCGCTGTGTTGCAAAGCGGCGGAGGTCGGTGGAGGGAGCAGCAGCCGGGAGCAAGGGCATCGCCCCACCACTCTCGAAATATGAAAAGTGAGACTGAACATTTCGGTGGAACACGGGCAGATGCACCCGGCACAATTTTTATTTTTTTTTTGTTTTTTCTTTCATTTCGCATGTGTTTTGCTGAGGGCCGATCAGCTGGAAGGTTTGCTCCCTCGCTGCCGAGCGCAGTTTCGAATGTGCTGTGCAGCCTGTCGTGAACGGAAGCCATTGCCGGGACGGGGGAAGACGCCATGGTCGTGTCATCTCCTTTGCGGCCGGGCGCAAGGGCATCGCCACACCACTCTCAAAATACGGAAAGTGAGAATGATTTTTTTTGTGGAACACGAGTAGATGCACTTGGCACATTTTTCGATTTTTTTATTTTTTTTTTCATTTCGCACGTGTTGTCGGCTGGATGTTTGCTCCCTCGCTGCCGAGCTGCGCCGAGCGCAGTTTCGAACGTGCTTTGGTTTGCCGCGCGATTCCAAACCCCGCAACTTTGCACATCCGTTGCCATGCGGCCGAAGGTGGTGATTGGTGTCACCCCTTGGAAGCCGACCCGAAGATCTCCCTTGCTTGCAGCACAAAAGCAAGACACACCTCCACGGATGGAAGTGCGCGACGTGCATTCACTGCACCCGAGGCAAGAGCACTTCAGGCGTTCTTGTATTCTGAATTAGCAACATTGGTCGTGGAACACTTCAAGTTCGTCATCTGCAGCGTTCCTCGATATGGAATTCATGGGAGTCGGGAACGTCAGCGAGCCTCGTTCGCGGTCCTTCGAGGATCGTCCTCACACGGTGCCGCAATCGTCTCGTGAGGAGTTCGACCTCAACCGGCAGCAGCACGGAGGGTGGCCGCGTGGCTTCGATCACATGGAGAATGGAAGCCATCCCGCCATCGCACATCGCCATCAGATGGAGGCTATGCTCGGTGAAGCAGAAGGCACCCCATCGTCGCAGCCACGTTCTTGCCTTACCTGTGACACAGTGTCGATTTCTCCATGGCATCACATGGGGAATGCAAGCCATCCAGCCAGCGCACATCGTCATCGGACGGCGGCTATGCTTGGTGAAACAGAAGGCACCCCATCGTCGCAGCCACGTTCTTGCCTCACCAGTGACACAGTGCCGATTTCTCCATGGCATCACATGGAGAATGCAAGCCATCCTGCCAGCGCACATCGTCATCAGATGGTGGCTATGCTCGGTGAAACAGAAGGCACGCCATCATCGCAGCCACGTTCTTGCATGACTGGTGACACAGTGTCCGTTTCTCCATGGCGAGCAAGCATCATCGACGATTCCGATCCGTTCGTTGCAAGAGAGGACGACATCTTCCTGGCGGCCTCTCAAGGTGGCGCACCCCCCCCCAGTATTGCTGATCGGATCTGAATGTACGGGAGAATGCGCGAGGGGTTGCAGGGTCCGCACATGTCAGGGTCTCCCAGCACGTACTGCACTCCTTCACAAATGACACACGCTGCGCTGCTCGCGTCGTACGGCCAAGCCAGGCCGGGGAGCACTTTCAATGGGTCAAGCGGCTACGGTGTCCATGTCGGGTCGTCCTCGCAGTTCTGGCCATCAAACTGCCCGGGTGGAAGGATGCATCAGCCTGCGCTCGGGAGCGATCAGCCTTTGCTCGGGAGCGATGAAGCTCGTCGATCAGCATGGAGGCAGACTCCTCCTGCAGTGAGTGGGCCGATGGCGCCAACTCCGTTTCGAGATTCATTGCCGAACAGCGTTGCTGGATCACCATCGCCCACGATATCTCCTGGGAATGTGTCCAGCATGGACGAGAGTGGCAGCGGCAGCAAGAAGTCTCCCGCTCACACACCGCTGAAAGGAAAGGGCCGCGGCGGCAAGCGTACGAATGACAAGAATGCTGGTGGAATTGGCAATGGAAAGGCGGCAGCGGGGTCAAAAGTAGATGGGGATGATGACGGAACTGACGTGGATGGAGGTGTGGGCGCGCAAGAAGAGGTGCCTACAGCTGCGCCGGAAGGGGGGGCTGTGGGTGCACAATCCGGGGCACAACCGCACGTGGTGTGGAATGTGGAGGAGCAGTTGCTGTTGGTAAGATGCAAGATCGACTACGATTTGGAGGAGTCACATGGCCGCAGCTCCGTCAAGCGCTTCAAGTCGAAGGATACTGTGTGGTCGAAGGTAACTGCGTTGATGGCGGAGAGGGGCGTTGTGAAGGAGCAGTACGCCTGTTCCCAAAAGTGGGACACTCTTATGTCGCACATGCGGCGGGTGAGAGACCACCATCGGAAGTCTGGAGCCGAGGATTACTTCACGATGACTACGAAAGTGAGGAAGATGAAGAAGCTCGACTTCTGCATGCAACGCCCCGTTTACGATCTCATGTCACCTACGAGAAAGATCCGACTGTCAACCCGACATATCTGAGTGACAGCGGCATCGGCTTTGTGCCCCCCCCCGAGATGGTGGACGCCCCGGCGGACGATCCTGGTCGGGCGACAGCGTGTGAAGGTCCGTGCAAGCGTCGGAAGACGCAACGAGAGAGGCACATGGCGGACATGACAGATGCTGTGAGGGATCACAGCAAGGCGACCGCTTCGGCCTTCTCAAGCGTCAGGGAGGCACAAAAGGAGAACACGACGATGATTGTTGGTGTGATGGACATGATGAACAGCACCATTGAGGCCAACGGAACCGCGCTCTTTGGAGCTGTGGCCCTCATCGCCCAAGCGTTCATGACGACAGCAAGCGCGCCAGAGGCGACATCCTCCGCACCCTCCCGTGGAAGCACTTGATCTCGCCGGCGACTGCAACCCTTGGAAGCCTTGTCTTCTTTTAAAAGAATCGTATTCATATAATAAAGCCGCTGTGTGGTTCAGCTCGTGCACGACAACATCATTCATTGGTTGCTCAGCAACAGTTAGGGGAATAAACATGCAAAGCGGCGGATTGATTTTTCTTTCCGCATCCGGGATGATTAGTGCGGGGTTTATGAGCGCTACTGTAGATCATGGCATTGATGCGACGGCGATCTGCTGGCACTGCCGTCACGTTGACGGACTATTTTTTTCGAGCATCACCTATATTGGTTTTTTTTTGTTTTCCATATCATTTATTGCGGTGCATGAGCATTTCACGATTTGGAATGTAATTCGTCCACCGATTTTTTTTTGTGTCGACCGTTTACACTGCCATCACGTTGACAGCCTTTTTTTTTCGAGCATCACCTATATTCGTTTCTTTTTTTTTTTTTTTTTTTTCCATATCTTTTATTGCAGTGCATGAGCATTTCACGATTTGGAATGTAAATCTTCCACCGATTTTTTTTTGTCGACAGTTTAAGGATGACAAGGACCTTGTTCCCCATTGGCAAAAATTCGAGTTGTGGCTCTCTCTCTCGGGATCACACCAACGGATGCACACAGAGGAGCAGGGGGGAGGGGATAACACAGCATCGGGAAACATGATTGTGTGACGGGGGCGACCTCCCACCAGAGAACTGAAAAAAAAATGCCCAAAGGAATGTAGCGGGAAATAATGTTCATGGAAATGGATGCTTCGGGCTGTCTGCAGCGTTGATTTCTGTTTTTTTTTGTTTTTTTTTTTTCAGTGTTTCTCAGGCCATGTTTTTTTTTTTGCTTTCAATAACACAGCGTACACTACCTGCCCCCAACTACTCCTGATCATAGTATTGCATAGAACCCATGTTGCTATACTCTGGAGTGACAGTGGCTAGGCAGTGTACTGTATATTAGAGAGCCTTGTGTGAAGTGTGGGGTTGATTCAATCGTTGACTTCTGAACTCAGCTTAGCCTGCATTGGGGTTGCCGGTACTCGCTGTGGTGAGCAATGTGTTTACCAGTTTACCAGTTCTGGTGCGATTGCCAGGCAAGGAGGGAACCGGCCAAGGAGGGGAGCATAGAACATTAGATGAAGAAAGTTGTAACGAAGCAGGGATAAGATTGCCGTCATTCCATTGTATACATTGCCTCAATTCTTTTTTCTCTTTCGAAATGTTGTACAAGTGTGTACCTTTTGAGTTGCACTCTCTAGCCCTTGTTTGTATACCCTCGGCCCGACTTCCTCGGTGTATGGATTGCAATGTGAAAGTCCAGTTTCTGCCTTCAACAATTAAAAAAAAAAAAAAAAAAAAAAAAAAGCAAGGCGCACAGGAGTTGGACCACAGATAGATGAATGAATCTGACCGCACTTGTAACAAATATAACTTGCCACCAATCACGGATGCATCCAGCTGCAATCGCGCCCCCAGATAAGTCGAAGAAATGGATAGTTCACTACTATGTACCGTGAGTGGGCCCAGAGAGAGAGGATTGCAGTTCACAAAAAAAAAAAAGAAGACAATGTGCAGACTCTCTCTCTCTCTCTCTCTCTCTCTCTCTCTCTCTCTCTCTCTCTCTCTCTCTCTCCACGTGCACTGTCTGTATTCAGCGATCTTTGCGGACGCCTCCGCTCATAGACCTATCTCCTGTTCTGCCGGTTCCGTTGTTCACGTACGTACTGCGCTACCACTGTTCGCAGGGCATCGGGCATGCGGCGGCCTGCATCACGAGCTTGCCGAGCTGTGTGCTCCGGTGGAGGTGGCGGAGCGACGTCGTCATCGTTGTCACCGTCCGGGTGGCGGTGCACATTCCGTGGAGCAAGAGCCGGGTCCTTCTGAACCCCGCAGCGTATCAGCAGGTTGTGAATCACACACACGACACGGAACTGCAGGGACAACGAAGTGATGTGAGGTTTATGGGTGCGCAGAAACATGCGCCACATGCCTTAGAGCCTGCCGAATGCTCTTTCCACACAACCACGACATCTTTTCTGCGCACTGTCGTACACCTCCGTGTCAGAGCCATCCTCTTGACGCCCTCCAAAAGGCACCACCAACCATGGCAGGCTAGGATACCCGCCATCCCCCAGTAAGTAACCTCTGGACTCAATCCCGCCAGGGAGGGCAAGCGGATCAGCACGAAACAGTGATCCGTCTTCAGCCCTCTCACGTAGAGCCGAGTTCATCAGCACGCGCACGTCATGCACACTGCCCGGCCACCCTACGTACACGTCGTAGATCTTCAGGTCCATGCCGACGACGACCTGCGCCACCACAAAGAACCGTCGATGTCGGTCAACGTACGGTCTTGCCATCTCCCCTGTGGGCTTGTCGATGAAAATGTGAATGCAGTCGATTGCACCATAGCAACGAGGGAACCCCTTCGTCCCGAACGCCGCGAAAGCCTCTTGTAAATGCTGACCACTCGGGAATGCAATCTCATCCGGATACGCTCGTAGGATAGTCAAGGTGACGTCGCGAACCGCTGTCCTCCCGGTCTCCCGCCCAATCCCGAAAGAAGCAGAGGAATGTTTGTAGCTTGCGCCAGTTGCCCACCTGTACAGGGCGTACTCGACCAGTTTGTCCGGTGGCGTGGGCATCCTGTACCATGTGTGTTGGCGCTGCAGGTATGGTTCCAGGTTCACAACGAGGCCACGGAACACCGCCTCTCCCATCCTGATGTTGTCGAAGTAATAGTCTTCAGCAGCGTCATCGCCTCGTGTCATATTACGCCACGCCCCATCTGCCCTCGGCCGAACCCACCATCGAGGTGGAGAGGGTCCCTCCATAACAGCCATAGCCGTCGCCATTATCATGAAGGATGAATCCAACACGGCCAGTTGCAGCAAATCACTCTCAAAAGACATCTGCATGAAGTGTTGGAGGAGCAATGCCATCTGCCGCGCAAGTGTCTCCATTTCCTGCGTGCCTTGTATGGCTATGATCGCCGCAGCTACAAGTAGGAGCACCCATCGTCCATGCTCCTGCTCCTGTCGTGCACGATCCCGCCGAGGAGGCATGACCAACCTGATGTGTCGACGTCAACAGGGAGTGATGGCCGGCGTTGGCAGTGATCGCGCGCGTCGTGGGGTCCGTACTTCCCGGGTGTGAACCCAAGCCAAGAACGTCCACGTGGCGCATAAACAGCTGCCAATCCACATGCGAGTTGTGTGCTAAATTGGGAGGCAGACGGGTCCGATCGGTAATGGCGCCACCGGACACAAAAAAAAAGCTCACGGAGGGCACGTCGCTGGCAGAGGAAAACTCTGCTGGCGGAGGACAACTCTTGTTCCGCAGGCAGGCGGACGCCGCTTTGGCCACGCGGTTCCCGGTACCCGTCCCAATGAGGCGCAGGCCCGTATTGGTACCTTCGTGGAGAAAATGCCCGCCGCCGCACAGCACACACGAAACACACACGAATACCATCAGGTCGCTCCCACGAGATAGTTCATGTGTGCTGTGCGGCGGTGCCGCCAGAAATGAAACGAAACGATGCTTTCGGGCCTCGCGAAGCCCCACGAGTTCAACGCTCTTTTCTTTTTGTTTCTGGTGCCATCCGGCGAGGCCCTTGGTGTTAGTACAACTTGGTGCACGGCCTTCCCTTCCCCAACATGATCTTTTGTTTTTCTTTCTGTTTTTCGAAGGGGCCCTCAAGGCCCAACTGCCAAACCTCGTCCAACCCCCGAAAAGTTCAGAAAATTTTCCCATTTTTCCCGAGAGTGACAGAGGTAGTGGTGGTTTAACAGGAACACCAGGCAGGCGGGTTGGTAATGTGAATTGGGAGGGGCCCGGAAAAGACTAAGGGCCAAAATGTGCCGACTTCTTGGTTTTGCATGTTGGATTGTGTGGTTCCGCAAATGCATCCTAAAACCAGCTCGTGGGGTGATAAACTTGTCGGAGCCTGCACCGCGTGAAGGGGGCAACCCCTGATGGGGTAAACAAACCAAATCTCTACATGTGCAATCATCCTCGCGAGGACTGCACATAGACTGAGGGATAGGCCTGACTGGCTGCTTCAATGGTCATATTGAGCATTCTTGGCAAGGAAGGTTACAGGTAAGAGGCACATGAAATGGTAAGAGAAAACAAGCTTCGGTGGGTGCACAAGGGAAGGGAACAAGATGAGCTCTTTATAAACCTCCCTGCTTGGGTTTTGGACGGCGCAAGCGGATGAGAAGGATAGAAGATTAATGAAGCCTTCACTGCTTGGGCTTTGGAAGGCGCAAGCCCATATCAAGGATAGAAAATGAATGAACCCTTGACCAATGTCTTCCTAGCAAGCCACAGCTCCATTCTACACTCCAATCCATGGCCCGTACAAACCGAACAGCTTACATAGGGACGGCGCCGAAGAGCTTTACCTAGTGAAGGGAAAGCCTTGTTGGCCCTGCAAATGAAACTTCGGCCCAACGTTTCTCTCGGGGTTTGGAGACGACAATTTGACCTACAGAGAGAGAGAGAGAGAGAGAGAGAGAGAGAGGTGGTGCTCTCTCGAGCCTTCATGTGTGTCTAAGTGAGAGACAAACTTGAGTGTGTATGTGAACGAGTGTTGCATGCTGCGCCTGCACACGAGGCCCATTTTTCAGGCCCTGCGTTGTTCAGGCTGAAAGCCTGAATTTCAGGCTGAAAGCCTGAAAATAAGGGCCTACAGGCCCCGTGACAGGTCAGCCTGAAAGCCTGAAATCCGGGGCCCACAGGCCCTGTGTCGTTTCAGCCTAAAAAACGCCTGAGCCTTTTCAGCCTGAAACTGAGGGCTATTTCCGGGCCTACAGGCCCCATGACGGTTCAGCCCGTAAGCCTGACATCCGGGGCCCACAGG